TTGCTTATCTTTTGTTTATCATTCTTAGTTTGTTCTTGCCTGAAATAAATTGTTGTCTCATCCTGAAGTTGGTCTTCCCTAATTTTCCACGCGGCAATATTTTATAATAGAGTGAACCATGGCTATAGTGAACCAAAGGTTCAGATCCATTGGGGTTCGCTATAGAGGGGCTTTACTGTTTTTCTAACTCCGCCTTTGCCGGTCCCAAGCCCGGATGAAAAAGGAGGAGGGGGAGCAGTAACAAGCTCACTAAAAAACCTGGGTTCAGCTGGTCCGGCTGATAGTACCAAGTAAGGGCTCCAGGGATACAGGATGAGTTTGTACTCCATGTTAGGAGCAGCTGCACATGGCGTCTGTTCCTCATGTCAGAGGTGGCCATTTCTTTTGGAGCTAAGTCGGCCTGCTACTGAGTAGTGCTCCCAGTCTTAATGACAAAGGCATTCTACTTCACCCAGTCATGATGGTTGTCAAGTCTCAAGCTCTACAAGCTTGATATCCTAATATGACTGAGTGGAGATAAGAAAGAAGAAGACTGTATTTCTAGTGTCCTTAAAGCTTATGTCCATAGTTCCTTAAGAACACCTTTTCCAAGAGATCAGTTTCAGTATCAGTATAAAAGCTAAAACATCTCAACGCAATATTACAGCAGTATGGTAGATTAAACTGGCAAAACTGCTGGGAAGGTTTATCACTGATGAACCACAAGTCCTCCCATTGTTTTATCATTGTAGTAAGGGCAGTAGAAAATTATTTTAATTTCAAAAAGAATCATATGTGCCAAAAAGAGTTTAAATTTCTTATAAAACCTGTTTTGCTGTAGCAATTTTCACTAGATATCAAATGTAAATAGACCCTCAATTAGCAGGTTGTCATGAAGTTGTTTGGGCCTATGTACACCTCACAGAGAGGCACTGTGGGGAATATAGATGGTATCATCATCAGCCATGAACTTGGCAATTACTGCCTGCATATGGTTACTTACACTTTCACTCTGATAGGATTGTATTTGTACAAGAGTAGAAGGCATTGAAGCCATTTTTATTCCTGAAACACTACCCAATGCAGCAATTGATTTGGTGGAGATGGAAGGATGGTCTAAACTGTTGGTTTTCGACTGCTATGACCCGGGTTCGATTCCCGCATTGGGCACTTTTTTCTGATATAAATAATTCTCAATAATAATCCCCCCCCCCTAAAACATTTTTATCTTTATAAGTGAATATTAACTTTACTGTACTGAATAGTTTAGTATAATGTTAATTTAACATATTACAATTTAGCCACAGCAACGCGTGGCCGGGTTCGCTAGTATATATATAAAATTTCTCATTCAGGACTTTTGTCTGAAGATGGTAACAACGCTGTTACCGAAACGTCACACACTATTTATTTATTTGGTCTTATTACCTTGTTTTACAGTAGAAAATTATTTCATTTAAAAAAAGAATCACACATGTCAAAAATAACTACAGTAGAATCTCCATGACAGGACACTCACACTAGAAGACACCTCTCTATAAAGGACAGTTTTCATTTGCAAAATTACCATTTTTACTCTATAGAAACTCTTCGGTATGAGGTCACCTCTCTCTAAAGGACACTTTGGCTCTGCAATTAGGTGTTGTCCTTTACAGGGAGGTTCTACTGTACAAGGTAATATATAAGACCAAATCCAAACAAATAAATAGTGTCTGAGATTTTGGCAAAAACATTATTTATTCATTTGGATTTGGTCTTCTTACCTTGTAGTTCTAATCTATATTCCGAATTGTGCCTTATCACATCAAAAACGTCTAACTCCGCCTCTGCCGGTCCCAAGCCCGGATAAAAAAGGAGGAGGGGGAGCAGTAACAAACTCACTAAAAAACCTGGGCTTAGCTGGCCTGGCTGATAGTACCCTGTAAGGGCTCCAGGGATACAGGATGAGCAGCGTTTGTACTCCATGTTAGGAGCAGCTGCACATGGTGTCTGTTCCTCATGTCAGAGGCGGCCATTTCTTTTGGAGCTAAGTCGGCCTGCCACTGAGTAGTGCTCCCAGTCTTAATGACAAAGGCATTCTACTTCACCCAGTCATGATGGTTGTCAAACAGACACCATCAAGGGTCACAACTTGATACCCTAATATGATTGAGTGGAGATAAGGAAGAAGAAGAAGAGACGTCAAAAATGACTTAAATTTCTTATAAAGTTGTATGTAGGAAGGGATAAGCAAATAGTATTTACAGTGGATGGTCAGATTTAAGAGCCTTGATATGTTGTAAATATTGGGATTGTTTTGCTGTATTTAGAGGAAAGAAAAGTATTGGGGAATCCATTAATAGCCATAGTATTGGTAAGGATCTTCAATGTAGAGTTACTCTTTTTTATAATAAAAACCATCATTAATCATTATACACCCAAGATAGAGGACATTGTGACTGCTGATAGAGATGCGCATGGAGAAATCTGAAGCTCTTAATTGGACATGACCACAACAGGAAATCACAAGGTAATAAGACCAGATCCAAATAAATAAATAGTGTGTGACGTTTCAGTAACAGTGTTGTTACCATCTTCAGACAAAAGTACTGAATACAAAATGTCTGAAGATGGTAACAACGCTGTTACCGAAACATCACACACTATTTATTTATTTGGACTTGGTCTTGTTACCTTGTGTTTATAATCTATAATCCAAATTGTGCCTTATCAACAACAGGAAATAAAAATAATTTGTCATATGTTTTTAATGGAAAAAGTAGTTAAAAGCAAACCCTCAATGGATTAGTTGTTTAAAAATTCTGTAAAACAGCACAGACAATAGTTGCAAGACATTATGATGAATCCAATTTAAAGAGAGGTTGATCTTAATTTCCACTTTGTGTAGATAACTGTTATGTTTACTTCTGTATCTGGGAGAATCCTGTATGGGACGAGTGTCTTGTTGTAAAGATGCAGTGTAGTGTACTTACTGTATCTCTTGGGCCCATCTTCCAGACAGAAGGAGAGAGTGAGGGTGGCTTCATCGTCAAAGAACTCCGTGGCAAAGGCATTCCACCACAGATTGTCACTTTCCTACAACCACAGCATTGGGTTAGTACAACCTATGTGAACCTATGGTCTTACTATACATACACTAGAGCTTCCTTAGAGGAGAGAGAGAGGGACTGTAGCTACCTACCAAAGTACAAGGTAATAAGACCTAAT